ACTGATCACACCAACCATATGTGAGCAGGAAAGATTTTCAAAGAAGAGCCAGTATTTGCTTAAACTTAATGATTTACAAAGGGGATTAGCTTTATCTAATGGTTATAATAACACTCCTGTGAAATCTTAATGCATTTTATACACTGGTGTCAAATTTCAATATTTATCAACATTAGCAACTTTTTTGTTAAGCTTTACCTTAACTATCAGTTAATAAAAATAAATAAAGCATATTTTTAAAATTATTAAGTGCAAACCTTTAATATAAAACAAGACAAAAAAAACAAACAAAATAACCAAGTGAAAATTTAAAGACTTTTATCTCCCAAGTTAATAAAAAGCAACTGAAGCAATTTATTGTGGACAATAATCATGACAAAGAAATAGTGAGATTTTTTTGTTATGTCAGTACATTTATCACAATGGACTTCTTAAAAAAATAGTGACACTTCAAGGGTACCGTATTCTATTGCTGTTTGCATTCACTTGGTTTGCCTTGTGCCTGCAACAAAATATAATAACTTGATTGAGACACTTAAATTAATATTTTCAAAAGAAAATGTAGCGATGTTGCAAAGTCTGTTTCATTAAAGTTTCCAAAATGGAAAATAAAATGTCAAGAATTATTTTACACAATAACCCTAAAGAAAAACTAAGCTGTCCTAGTTCTGGTAATAAATGAACACAAATTGTACAAATACTAAATTAAGTGAATTTTACCACTAAAAGTATTCACACAATTTAGTATAATTTTTTTTTTGATTTCCCAAAGCCTGCAAAACTATCATAGGAACATAAACTTTTAGGATACATAATTGAAAGTTAGTAAATCCAATATTAAATTGGATGAGGTATGACATAAAAATGTGGGGGGAGATCCTATTTGTTGACGATATAAAACTAAAAGAATTCATTATAAATATAATCCACTAATGATCAATCTGGTGACTGCTGTATAGGTGCTGGTTCATAATAAAAATGTACAGATTCACTAAAGCAAGCTGAGAACAAGCTATAAGCACCAAACACTATTGCTTTTTAAAAAAAATAAAAAAATTATCTCATTTGTTACAAGACAGCTTCATAATTTATATATATTTTTTTTTAAAATGACTAAAATTAGTATTGCTAAAAACTACACAATCAAAGAATTTAGAAGAAGCTATTTTAATTCTAACTGATAATGTATATTAAGTTTGATAAAAAAAGACCTATTTATACTGGTACCCGGTACCTAGTTACATTAATAATGCCTAGATGTTCAATGCATTTAAGACATTTGCAAACAAATATACTTGACCCCAATAAGTAAAATACATTGCTCTAATTTGACCAGATATTAAGCGCTAAAGCTTTATCAATTTTGTTTAGAAGTTAATTATCTATTGATCACTTATTTCACTGAATTTGTGAAGAAGGTGCACGATACATTTTATATGCATGACACAAATAGTAATTAAACTTTTCAAACTGCCCAGCATATTTATTGACTTATGAAAATGGAATTTTTTGCCGGTATATCTAAGGAAGCTCATGTAATACAATTCTGATGAGGGAATTATTAATAAATGAAATATGATTCGATACACTTTAACTTTGACAGTAAAAGATTTTGTAATTGCAACTATGCATTATGAAGAAGTTTTAAAAAGGAATAACATTAACAAATTGGAGGAGCCATATCCCAGTGCAACGTTTTAAATATCAATATTATGAATGGATTCAAAAGCCACACAAAAAAAACAGCATTTTATTGAACTGAATTTTTAAACAAATATTTTGAAATTGCTCATATGTAGGTATTTACTTTCTAAAACAGAAAAGACATAACAATTCTCCATAGCACAGTCACAATACATTGACAAAAAAGTAGGCATTGCACTGCAATTAAATCTTTCTTGGCTATCTATTACTGAATTTAAACTAGAAACAGCCTTCTTCAGCTAACATGCATTGGATGATATAAAATCTAGACCAATTCACATGTATCTTGTTGAATGAGCCTTCAGCTAATCTTTTAGTATAATTGACATGGAAGCAGCTTTGAACCGCAAAGACCAACCAGCACCCTTGCCAAAAAAAAAGGCTGACAGCTTAGCTACTAAAATGAATAGGTTAGCATAACACAACTTAAAACTTTCAAAAGAAAATTATAACATTATGGAAAGATGGAAAAGGCATTTTAAACAGGATCATGCAAGACAAGTGTCATAAACAATGTCACAAAACAATGGTTAATTACCAAAGGTAATTAGCATACCAAAAATGCTTTAACATAGCATCCCTGGAAACCACTAGGCCTAAAAAAAGAATACAAAACAATCTCAGATAAAATAAAGGTTAACAGAAAAAAAAGTTTTTAAATGATGGAAAAGTTAAACCATTACTGAATGGTCCCTACCTAATAATTTAGTGAAAACAAAACCTAATAATAAAAAATAATTTATATCTTACTAACTGATATACTGTCAAGGTGCTTTTCTATCTTCATTTTGGCTAACATTTAGGGACACACTTGTAAAGCTATAAAATTCAAAGAACATATTTATACAGTAAAATGTAGAATCCCTATTTATTTACAAAAGCTTTAAATTTCAAAGGTTAGCTTGTAGTTTTAGGCATGAGGCTAAGCATGCATTTGGATTTCTTAGGAAAATTATCATTTGGTAAATTGAATTTGATCATTTTAAAAAAATATATAAAAATTGGATTTTACTGACTGTATTCATGACAGTTACCATGACAAAGTCTGTTGGGCATGTGGTTCAACTTATTGAATGAGCGAAATATTTTTTAAAGGTACAGCAGAATATATAGATGAAAGTTACAACCATAAAAAATAATTACCCAGACACAAAAATACACGTGAAAGGTTAACTACCAAACATTGAAAATAATACGTTGAGAGTTTCCAAAAGTGTTAGTCAACTGCTCTGAAGATAAGAAACACCTATTTTTAAACCAATATCAATGTATCCAAACTTTTCATAAATTTTATATGCTAATGTGCACAAACAATCTATTACAAAGTTATATGTTATTGAATTCGGTAGTAAAACCTCTTAGCCTTTTCTGTCACATTCTATTCCCAAATTTTAAAAGATTTTGAAAAAACAAAATAATAAAAACGTTTGCTTTCTTAGAAATGAAACAGACTTTAACATGCTAAGTGTAAAATAACAAAGTTTAACACTAAGACATATCCCTGTGTTATTTCAATTTGACTTACTGTACAATTATAACAAGAATTTGGTAACTCAAATCTCCTGTTATATAACAGGAAATCTTTTAGATTGAAATTCAAGCCTTAAAAGTTATTCTATCAAATCAATTTTTAAAAGGTACAGTTTAACTAGTGTCAGGGGGTCCTTACCAAAATCCATTTGATGGAACTGTCTCAGACAGCATCTTTTTACTCATAACATTTCCACTTTAATTTGTAAAGTCATTCACTTACCTCAGGGTTAAAATCAGGATCAGCATCTTCATCATAATCCTCATCTTCCCCCTTTGAAAAGTAAAATAATAAAATTGTTAATTTCATGTGTTTTTATAAAATCTCTAAATCAAAATTCTATTACTTGGTCAACGTTTGTTAAATGCTACCTGATAATTTTGTTAAATAAAAGTGTGTGCCATCTTTCAGGATTATTCAAGTGAGAAAACATCTCTGAAACTTTCAAAATACACATGGAAAAATATTTTTTTTTCAACCATAAAATTAGGCTTTCTCATTATTTACTCACAAATTAATACATTTTTTAAATGCTGAAAAACATTATTATCCTCAAAAACAAAAATAAATACATAATATTGTAAACAAACAAAAAAAAACAACTGTTGGAATGAGTTAGACCAATAAACTTCACAAAATACTTAAAAGATTATAACTTTAATCATTTGAATACAAAAAATATTTAAATTTTTGGAATAAAATATAGAATTAAAAAAAAGAGTCCAAATTTAAAAAAAAAAAATTCATTGAACTTTTAAATGGCAGCAAACAGAATAGATTTGCAAAATAACATTTTCGATTAATTTAAACAAAGATTCCTCTCAAATTAAACAAAGAAATCTTTATTAAAAATTATGCATTATTTCAAATTAGCATTAAAAAAAAAAAAAAAAACAAAATTCCTGTTAAAGTTGTAAAAAAAAAAAAAAAATTTAAAATTAAACAAAGATTCCTCTCAAATTAAAAAAAAAAATCTTTAATAAAAATTATGCATTATTTCAAATTAGCAATAAAAAAAAAAAAAAAAACTAAATTCCTGTTAAAGTTGTAAATAAAAAAAAAATATTTCAAATTTAACATTTGGTTCTCACTGGACTTGGACTCTGCAAAATGAATAAATTACTTTTAACAATGCTATAAATTACTTTTAACAGTGCTAAGAGAATGTTCCATTTAAAATAAAATAAATTTACTTTTGCAAAAAAGAACTGGATCATTTTATTTACAAGACTGAAACAAGATTATTTGTGTTGTTCATTTTTTAACAGCTGACTTTTGTCTTATGTCAAATTTTTTATTGTTCGGAGATTTAAGACTTAAAATATCTAGCTGTAGTACCAATATGGTCATAGCAAATTGTAACCAATGGCAAGAAATTATTAATATTTAACTAGTAGCCTAAGAGTTTCTGCCCTCTAGTTCAAATTTAACAAGAAAGGGTTTGAAGACTTCTTGTCAATATATATACCAACATTAAATAAATAATAATTCATAAGAACAATATTTATGAAGAATTAAAAGGCTAATAATCATTAAGAATGTCAAACTTTAAATTTTTACTTACCTCCTCATTTTCTTCATCTTCATACTGAAATATAAAAATCAACATTGATGTTTTTTTTTGGTCTTATGTTTAGATTAAGTGCAACATTTTCAAGAGATTAAATTAATGAATATAGCCTACGCAAAAATAATGCTGATCTGCAGCGGAATTTGGTTTATGTCTTAGATTTGCTAAAAAGTGAGAAAATATAAAATTTAAAAAAAAACTTACTTCATCATTCTCAATGGCTTCTCCTGTAAAGAACAGTACAGCTCTGGGAACTATCCTTTCACGAATGAAATGGCCAATTTCAAAGTCAGCACCTAATAAGGCCTCAACCTCCTCATCCTGTAAGGAATTAGGTACACATTTCCAAATCAAAATTTGGAGCATTTTAAATAATGCTTTATATTTATTTTAAATATTATTCTTAAAATAAGAGATAAATGGTTGTAAGATTCATAACTTACCATTTCAGACTCTGATCCCTCAGGAACTGCAAAAAAAACTACAAAAAAAAAAAAAAAAGAACGAAAAAAAGGGGTCATTAAATATCAATTGCTGGAAAAATCAATTAACCACAGGTCAATAATTCCTCTCTCCACAAAAAAAATTCGTACCTGCAGGTGGGTTGAAGAAATTAAAGAAAGAGTCTGCTTGAACTTGCTTAGTCACAGTTCTAGTTAAGCCTCGTCCTTTATGTTTCTGCTTCTTCTTAATTTGTTTCACAGTGACATTTTTCCCCTTATTCCAGTTGATAGTGCATCTGCAACATAGAAATATATTTATATTCAAGTTAGAGAATAACTACACAATTGTATTGCCAATCCTTCACAATTTACATTAAATAGCGTTAACAACAAAAAGTACAAACCCAGTGCATTTGATGATCTCTGGCCCTTCATATGAAAATGGATCTTGAGGATCAGGTTCATATCGCATTTCGTAACGTTTGGTAAGCACTGTATCTGTGAAGTACTCATTAGGCTCAAAGTGAAACTCTAATGTGAAACCCTGAATACAGAAGACAAGAATAAAATGCATTATTGTTTGCCTTTTGTTCCAAATGGAAATCAAATTACTATCGGTTAATAGAAAAAACTTACCACTGGGTCTTTATCATGAATAATAACTTGAATGTCTTGTAAATGCGTCAAAATTGGTTCATCGTGCTCCTAGATATATAATTATTGTAAAATTAAATGACCAGAACATGTATTAAAAAAATATGTACATCTCTAATGTTATGTTCAATTGTGTGCATTTTAATTTAAGAACTCAATAAAAAACTAAGTTAGAAATCCTCCGGTAATAAGAGAAAAGGCATCAGGGGAACAACCACACACTTCATTAAAATAAGGTTCATCATTAAAATAACTGTGCAGAAAAAGCAATATGTTGATAAGCTATCTTTACCTGTACCATCTCAGAAAGCAAGTCCACGTTCTTGAAAATTGTCAGCCAAAAGCTTGGAATACCCTTCACATCTTCTATACAATAGTAAAAATTTAAGGAACCATAAGAAAATGTGTCATTCTCCAATTAATGTTAATAACAAAAATGAGATGATATTCTTTGCAACTATTTTTTTATTCCAAGCAAACATGATGCAACTGAGGCTATCTTTGAAATTTTTAAAATCTTTTTGCTTTGCAGTTATGTCTTACAAAACCCTTCCTTACAGCACTGAATGAAATGTTAAACATTATCTAAGCAAAGGATCATCTTTGAGTTTTGATAATTTATATAAAAAGGGGTAATTAATAATGTAGCTTAACAAATTTGCTACTTTTGCCATGGTATTTCCGTTTGATTGCTGGTTCAGGGTCTAATTTAAATTTATTATGATACCGGCAATGATGATGGGTCAGATTGTTATAAATTCAATAAAAATACAGAGCCTAAAAATCGACTGAATGATAATGGGGATGCCTAATGACAATGCAATGCACAGTCACTGATTGTTGGTCTGACAAATCGACCAGTGATTCTGTTGAAAGATTTACAGAGATTGCATTCCAAACTTTCCTTTTGTTAGGAGTACAGCAGATTATTTCAAAATTTTTATGACTAATGAAATTGTGCAGCTAATAATGTTACGGGGATGGAAACAAAAATATATGCCATAGAGCTGACACTGAGAAAAACTTGGGAGAAAATGATGTTACCAGTTTTCCCACAAATGGTAACAAAATGCACACTGGTAGAAACAGGGGAAAAACTGGCTTTACACAAGTTACAAAAGGTTTCTCAAATTTCAAGAGACCCACAAGAGATACAGCAAAAAAGAATATTAAATAAAAGTTTACAAAGTTGTATATTTTAAAAACATTTATTATTCTAATTTTTATCGCTTGTATTGTTAAAAATGCATTAGTAAACAATTATTTTAATAACATTAGGAGACATGTACTTATCTTAATACTACGGGGCGTTTTGGAGTTAGCAGCAAATGGGTCTGAGATGTTATGGCCAATCAAAAGCTATACCATAACTTTTATAAGTTAAAAGCCCGTATAGAGGAAAACCCTTATGGTTATGAGCAACCAAAGGTAGAGAGTAAAATAACTTTGGTAGGCTACTTTTCTTGAGAAGGAAATGCTAAGTTAAAGCAAAGCCAGTAAAGACAGGATCAAATACTGCGTCGTGTATAAAAAAGCTGTCGGCACCATCTGACCACAGATTGATTTTGAAATTGACACACAGACATGTCTATCAAGAAATCACAACAGTATGATGAGCTCTGGAAACCTGTTACTTTTAGTAGACTTCTTAATGGCTAGTGATCTAAAAAAAAGAAAAAAAAACAAAAAAAACAGGAAATACTTTCTTTTAAAAATATACTTGCCCTGTTTCTTTTCCCCACTATCTCCGCCAGCGTCCTTGGCGCCTTCAATACTGGCCATTTCCTTAAGCTCTACCTGTTGAGAAGCGGGCTACATTGAACGCCAATGTACCCAAGTGGTACATCAAAAAGGTTGGAACACAACTTATATAAAATTGATTAAAGATTTAACCTAATTATAAACATCTTGATATTTAAACTAAGCTCTTAAATATTATGAACACCAGAGTCCAGTTTCAAAGCAGTATTAGGTGATAATTCAAAGTAGAAGACTAGTTAAACGGGTAAATTACAATTGTAAAATGAATAACTTACAGCCAATTTAGCCTCTTCATCTTTTTCCTCTTCTTCTTCTTCTTCACTTGGCCAATCACAGTCATCATCTGTAGGTTCTCGTGATGCTGTAAGGATCTCTTTTCTCTAAAATTATTAATAAGCCTCAACTGTACACTTTAACATTATTCTGTCATAAATACAATGTTCCACTGAGTTTTTTCCTTAAATATCTAGCTGATCAATAAACATTTACACAACACCAATATCCACACAAAGATTTGCATTTGCTCCATGCTGAAAACCACATTAAGAAACATAAGCAATGGTTTAACTTCCAGAGTGCCCCTAGAATATGTATCACTACGACTTTCCATTACAAAAATTAACAAGAACAAAACACAAATAGATCCTGTGACTATATTAGTTTACACTACTTGTGTATTTACTTGTGTGTCCTTAATAAATGTAGTTAATACTTTTGGTGTCATTATGAATGGTACTCAGTGGGTTTAGAGTAGGGTGACCAAATCACGAACTGTAAAAAAACGGAATACCCTCCAGCTAAAGAGAGGTCCCAGGGCCTCCGCGGTAAAGTGTTTATTGAAATATGCTAATTGTAACTACTTTGAGACCTAGAAATCTTTTTAAAGTCTGATCCATATCATAAGCGAAAACAATAATTTTGCAGTGAATGCGTATTTATTTATACATATTTGACAACGTAATAAGATCTATGGCAGAGACTGTCGTTTAAGCACCGTGGGCAGAGTGGTGGAAGGGGAACAGTGCAACCATCACGCGAGCCCACATCACTACTGGTTCTGACTACAAAGCTAGCCAAAATATTACTTGAAGTTATATTATAAATTAGGAAGTTTTAGTGATTTAAATGTGTTTGGTTTCAGAAACGGGACATTTAGGCGCCCCGAGAGACTTTTTCGGGACAACGGGTACGATCATGAAAAAACAAGACAATCCCGTTGTGACGGGACTTTTGGTCACCCTAGTTTAGACTCATTTAAAATGTGTTATGTGAATAAAAAGTATTTAAATATATTAAAGAAGTTGAATAATTTTTTTAAAAAAACTTAACTCGGCCGAAAAGCAATATTGAAAGATGACCAGTCCTAGTGGCTTAAAAAAAAAAAATGTGTCATATCAACAGTACTCTTATAAGAAAGTTAGTTCATTGTTTAGTTAAGTACTTGATCCTTGATGCATTGGGAATTTAAAATATCCACAAACCTTTTCAAATAATTCTGAGTACTTTGGGGCATACTTTAGTTCCAGTGCATTAACTTCTTTGTAGAATTCTGCTTCCACAGATATAACTTCATTCTGTAGTTTTTTAAGAGCTTTGATACGTCTCTTCACTTCTTTGGGTAAACTAAAATAAGAACAAATTTTTAAGAAGTATGTACTTTTTATCTCATTAACTAACTGGAAATCACCACTGTCATGTAGCCAGGGAATATCTGTGTATATATATGATTTATCGCTAGTTTCAATGGTTGCTGTGTTGAAAAACTGAAAACATGAACGATTCTTCTTTACTAAAAGAAAATTCAACATTTGATACAAAAGGCAATATTATTAAAAATCATTAAATATTTTTTTTAAACCTTAGCTGCCTGTGAATTTACAGCAGTAGGCCACTAGGTCAGGTGGCAGTTGATTTTAAGCTTAAGAGGCCTCTATTGTGTACAGCAGCATAAAAGCCTTGCTTGCCTTTCCAACTTTTTTATTATTAACTAGGAAATTACTACTGGTATCTATACAAACCACAAGGGAGCTATACATTTTAAGGCTAATACAAGGCTACTTTTCAGATAAGTTTATTATGCAATCAAAACTTTGGCTAATTACACCAGTCTAGGATTTGTATCCAAGTTTAGAAAAAAGCTAACTAATCAGGAACCTTACCCAGTAGAAAATCCCAAACATAAAGAACACTTTCATCTCAAAAGTGCTTTAAAACAATGTATTTTATAAAAATTAGAATATTGTTTCTATTCCAGTAATCTACTCTCAAGTTTATTTAAAATACAAGCTGGGGTAATGCAATCACGTTGCACTTGTAAAATACAACAAGAGGTATGTAATCTATAATAATAATAATAAAATCTGAAATAATAATTCCTGATGCGCTCCATATATTCACCAATGCTTAGTTGAGTACAGCCCTTGCAAAATAAAAAGATAAATTGTGTAAAAAAAAAGTTAAATAAGTCATTAAGGAAAAGCTGTAGCTGAGGGATTTAGGCCGTAAAACTATTTCAAATGGGTTACACTGTATTACTTTTCTTAAACGAGGTGGACAACATCCACTTATTGTTATTATTATTATATACAGGTGATGGTGTTAATTACTATACAAATAAGTATGTAAGATAAGGTATACTAAACTTAATATCTTTCACCTTTGAATGTAGCCTGAGGGTGATCCCACAATGGAGCAAAGTTTATCTTGAAGTGCTGCTAGGACTCCTGGATTTTTCATAAGCTGATTAGCAATTGCTTGGCTGTCACCAACCTCACCTGTGAAAGCAAACACAAATATGACATGCACATATAAGCCATTTTCCTTCTACACAAAACACCAATAATTATTAAATCTCAGTAATGATTGTAATAATGAGTGTGCATTGAAAATTCTTTAAAAAAAAAAAACACAAAATATTTGGTCAACATGTTTGACTTAAGAAAATTTTGCCTGTCTTAAAAATGAACTTTCACTTAAACCTTTTTACCTTTTTAAAGAAAAAAATAACTTAAAGTAAGTTGCCTCAATCACACTGCAAATCTAAGAGTATATATTTATTGATAAATACCAGGATAAGATAATTTTTATAAAAGGAGAAAAATACAATCATACCAGTTTCTTCTGCATGGTCCTCTTCAACATCATCCACAGCATCACTGGAAGGGCTAAGGAAGAAAAAAAAGTGACATGAAATTGTACCAAAAAAATATGACACGTTTTAAATACTATTTCAAATATGTTTACTTGTCATAATGAGTTGTCTCTTTATAAAAAAAATAGCAAAATAACCTTATAAAAGAATTAGGCCCATAGATTTATATAGGCATGATTTACGATAACAATTTTTTTAAAAGAAATAGATACTTACTTTTCTGGTTCTGACATCCTTTCAGACTTCAGCTGTTTAAAAAAGAAGGGGAAAATTTTAGACTTAATTGCCCAGCATGCAACCCAAATCAGTTCCACAGTTTCATTTTAAATGTTTACTAGTCAATAACTATTTTGCCTGAGATTTTGTATGTTGTACTTGGTTTTAGCCATGGTCCCAGTTTCTTACATAAATTACTAAAATTTCTTTCAGAGGTCCAATTGTAATCAAAACCTTAGCAAACTATACATTTCTGAAAGATAAATGAATTGGCTACAACATTTAGATTAGTGTTTTAAGTGTATCTATAAAAATTAATGATGTTATAAGCACTTAAAAGCAAAACATTTTTTCGTGGTTTTTTTCTCGTGCACTCCAAGGTCAAGGACACTGAGCAAAAAATTATTTTACGGGGTGAGCAATATAGCCAACTTTATCCCCATCCATTTACCTTTCTAAAAATATATACTTATTGGGGTCTTGTATTAATATTTCTATGTCATTTAATTTAATTTCAAAAGGCACACAAAAAGCTCTGAAAAGCTCCCACACTACAGAATGATCCATACCACAGTTTGTAGGTGAACTATCGATCATTAGATTTATTTTTATTAGGGGTGTGCCGGATCCGTTTTTCCAACCGGATCCGGATTTTCTTATGCGAAATCCGCCGGATCCGGATTCCGGTACTTTGCACATACCGGTAAATCTGAGGGGTTGGATGCCTTCTGAACAGTTGGCCTAAATCGTGATCGTGTGGAATTCAAGAAAGAGAATTACTTTTATTTCAGATTATGATCCGGTGTGTAACAAAATCTGGCAAATTCCGAAATCCGGTATATTCCGGTTGTTCCGGATACATGTAAATCCGGCGGAACCGGATTTCACCGGTTAGTCTAAAATCCGGCGGACCCGAATTCTGGCACACCCCTAATTTTTATAATGGGAATTCAGTGAAGAAAAAGAAAATGATCACACAAATCTTCAAGACAAACCATTGGTCTATGCTAGGGTGACCAAATCATGAACTGGAAAATTCGGGAGCCCAAGGAGGGTTTGGGGGTATACCCTCCAGCTAAAGAGGGGTCAGGGGGCCTTCGCCGGAAACTTTATTGAAATATGCTAATTTTAACTATATTGACATAGAAATCTTTTTAAATTTACCTTCACCTTTGTAATTTAATCTCATATAAATGAAAAAAATAAATGTGTTTGGTTTTAGAAACGGGACATTAAGGCATCCCGAGATACTTTTTAGAGACACTGGGTATGATAGTTAAAAAAACGGGACAATCCCGTTTTTACGGGACGTTTGGTCACCCTAGTCGATGCACCCTAAGTCCAGTGTGGGGATTCCTTAAAAGGAAGTCACAGAGTCACTGCTTTGTGTGAAACAACTATTACTATTGACAATGCCCATGCCGCTAACTACACTTTTTTAAAAACCTTTTATTTATGACATTGTACGTACATATTCATTTCAGAACATTTATAAATATTCTAATGAAATTTTAAACTTTAACAATTTAATAAAAAGAATATAATATGTAAGCGTAAGGAACAAAGTGTGAGTTAATCATAGTTTAGTTTTGCTCTAAACATAAGGAGCCCCACTGGTTCCTGAATGATATTATTATTAGCAATAATACAGTTTGTGTTTCATGCACATCCACATTGAGTTTTAGTGTGGACACAAAAAAAGGCATTTGGATCAATGACCAAAACCAAGCGTAGAAAGTTTCCAACATTACACAAGTTATTTGGCAGTGTGTACACGTTTGCACTATTTGCCCAGCGACCAAGCCACATGACCGCCGTAACAAAGTGGCGAGAGATATTTGTCCATCAGCCTTGTCACGTGACCGCGAATGATTCAAAACTATTGTTAATCTTAAAATCTATTTCTCTACCAAGTAATGTACTGAGTATCTTGCAAACAAATAATAGAAAAAAATACTTGGGTATATTACTAAAACAAAGTGGGGGCTAAGTAATCATGCATTCTAGAAGGAAGCAATGCTGAGAGGGAGAGAATTACGGTAATAAAAAATACGAATGCTAAAAAAATAATAGTGAGGGTGATAAATAATTAAGTTTAATGAATGGCGGGGAGGCCGATAGTTTACAAAGAAATAGACCCCATATCTTAATACAGGGTCGATATAATAATAATAATATAATAATAAGTGGTCTTATATAGCGCGGTACCCCGGCCTAGGGCTGGGCTCACCGCGCTGTACATATATAGCAAAGAGGCATAATCATAATATTAAAATAAAATACATAAATGAAATAAAAACAACATATAAGCAAAACAACACCATAGGTATATTCATCCACCCACACCAGACATTTTTACAAGGAAACCCATGTACGTTTATCGGTTTATAGGAGGAGAATCAGTCAGAGTAGTATAGTTTAAATAGATGTGTTTTGAGTGCAGTTTTGAAGGCCTGTGTGGTTGTTATATTGCGGATGTGTAGTGGCAAAGAATTCCATTGTTTGGGGGCGCAGAAAGAGAAAGATCGTTCACCATATAATTTAGTGCGTGTCTTGGGAACGGACAGAATACGCGAGTCTGCGGAGGAGCGAAGTTGTCGAAGGGGTGAATAGACAGAAAGAAGTTCAGTTAGATAGGAAGGGCAGGAATCCGAGAAAAAGTTGTGACAGAGAAGAGACAGCTTGTAGTCAATGCGTGCCTGTATAGGGAGCCAATGTAGTGAGTGGAGTAGTGGAGTGACGTGATCGCGTTTTTTTGCCTTAAGAACAAGCCTAGCAGCAGAGTTTTGAACTTTCTGCAGTTTTTCTATAAAATGTTTCGGTGAACCTGACAGAAGTGAGTTGCAATAGTCAAGACGAGAGAGAACAAGAGCACAGACTAGAGTTTTTGTTGCGCTAACTGTCAGGTAGTGGCGGATGGAGCTGATCTGACGGATGGCGGTGTATGCCGAACGACAAATGTGAGAGATATGTTTATCGAGAGACATGTTGTTAGAAAGAATATAACCAAGATTCCTAGCAGAGGGTGTAAACTGTATGTCGGAGTTACCTACTTGAAATGAGGTGGGAAGAGTTGAGGTAGAGGATGATTTGTGATTGTAAATGAGGAGTGCTTCTGTTTTGTCATCATTAAGCTTCAACTTGCTGAGTGTCATCCAAGACTTGACATCATCAATGCACCCCCGCAAAGTCTGGACAGCGGAATCGACAAGAGATGGATGGGTATGCATGTATAGCTGTGTATCATCTGCAAATGACTGGTTCTCAACAGCATGCCTCCCGAGCAAGAGGAGTAGTGGTCTGGTATACATTATGAATAGAACCGGACCCAAAACGGACCCCTGTGGCACTCCGTACACCAAATCAGCACTGCCGGAGAGACAGCCATCGACAGAGACCATTTGCGTTCTATCAGAGAGGTAGGACCTAAACCAAGCCAAAACCGAACCAGAAATTCCAAAGTAGTTTTCAAGGGTTTTGAAAAGGATTTCATGGTCAACAGTGTCAAAGGCCGCACTGAGGTCTAAGAGGATCAAAATGGAGACATTACCGCTGTCCATTGCGCGCAAGAGGTCATTACTGACTCTCAAGAGAGCTGTCTCCGTGCTATGGAAATGTCTATAGGCCGACTGATTAGAACTGAGAAGAGAGTGATCATTTAAGTAAGCAAAAAGTTGTTTTAGGACTAGTTTTTCAATAACTTTAGATAAAAATGATAAGTTAGATACAGGTCTATAGTTTTTTAAATTATTTTCATCCAGACCGGGCTTCTTAAGCAATGGTTTGATGACAGCTGATTTGCAAAGAGGCGGAACAGTGCCAGAATATAAGCTTTCATTTATTATGCGGGTTATTGTTGGGAGCAAGATATCTAATGACTCAACCAACAGGGGGGTTGGGATGGGATCCAAATAACATGACGTATGTTTAGATTTTAGGATTATATTTTTTACCTCAAGTTCTGAAACAGGTTTAAAAATATTAAAATGGGAAGTAAGACAAGGGAAAGGAGGCAATTCAAGGGGAGGGGCATCAAGACGATCAAGCTCAGCTCGAATGTCAGCTACTTTGCTTGTAAAGAAATTACAGAAAATATCTGGTTGCTTGGGCAGGGGAAACACCGAAGGAAGCGCAGTTCCTTTGTTACTCCCCCTAAGGTGACCACAAACATCAAACAACTGCCTGCTGGTTTTACCCATAGTTATCTTTTGGCTAAAATACGTAGTCTTTGCCCGACAAACAATCTGATTGACACGCTTCTTGGCAGCGTAAAATATCTGCTTAAAAACCACAAGACCTGACCTTAACCACTTCTTTTCTGCACTACGGCGCTCTTTCTTGGCACTGCGTAGTTCCTCCTTGATGGTCGCATACCAGGGAGATGACCGCTTTAGACTAAAATTGCGGCGGGTGACAGGGGCGTGTCGGTCAAGCACAGCGCGCAATGCACGGTCTAGTGATTCCAATGTAGGGCAGAGGGCAGGGGACACTTCTACGCTTAGGTCATGCTTAAATGCATCCCTGTTTATAGCTCGCAGACTGCGCACCTCCCTAAACTGAGGGGGAGGGTTGGGGGCACTAACACTAAGTTCACAAATAACACAGAAGTGGTCAGAGGACAGCTCTTGTGTGATTGAAGTAGATCTACACCATCTTGAGGCCTATGTAGTACCCAGTCAAGAATATGTCCACGATTATGAGATATAGACAGTGGTAGCCTAGCCTACTTCTCATGCAATACTAAATACTAGTCCTGAAATACAACTTTGACATAGGTCTATTTAAGTCTACTGGTCTTATTTTATTTGGTTCATATTTTAAATTTAGATGTATTAACCAAGATTAGGGACTTTTTTCCTTGACTTTGAAGAGTCTGAATCAAATAGACTAGTAACAGCAGTAGTAATAGTACTACTAGTTAGTATATAGGCCGACTAGTTTAAATTAATATTCAAAGTCAAACACTTTATGTATCTCATATTTATTAATTATCTAGGGATCGGAATATCAAATGCAATGCAACTATTTTGCCGGCGACCACTTGCAGGAATAAAGCCTATCAGTCGTTCGGCGGTCACGTTGACATGCTCGCTTCGAAGTTATTTTGCCATAAACCTTTCATGTATCCATCTGAGAAGGCTTTTCAAAAATCGTGTTTTTGGGGTTTGAAGTGTCTAAGTGTGTTATAGTAAAATGTCTATAGTCTATATAATATATAAAAAATACATGCACTCCTATAAAGTGATAACATGTCCGTCTGGCATTCCAACAAGAAAACAGCACCCACTCTATGCCAGCCTAAATCCAGTGCCTCTTGCCCTCTCTACACTGTCCCAGGTGGTATTTCAGGCATGGCATAGTATACTCAGTATAGTCATAGTCTATACTATGTAGAAATGGTATAGAGGCCACACTGAAGTGGTAGATTTTTTGATTCAGTCAAACGTCTAGTCCTTGTACATAGAATACATTAATAACAATACTACTATTGGGGGGGGGTATGAATGTGCTCTCACATTAGTTGCTTATATACACTAACTATTACTATACTATAAAATACCGACTACACTCACACACCGACTTCTTAAGACTCCCAATGACAGTTTACTTTCAAATGGGGCTGCAGAGTTGACGAAAGGAGACGAAAAGTATACGAAGCGAATTTTACAAGTTAAAAAAAATGTGCTCTAGAAATATGCAGCTATAAATGTAGGATTTGATAAAATAATTAAGATTTACCTATCAGAATGCAGAAGAATTGGTTTATACTGATTTCCCCTTGCCTTTGTTATATACAGTGTAACTGTCGTGCGCACGAGGAATATGGTGGCTTCGTTAAGGACTTTAAATCTAACCGTCGCTACCATTGGTTAGATTACATTTCTGTTGAAAAGGCGACCAATCATTTTCGCTCTTACATTAATACATTTCACTATATGTAAAAAGACCATAAGCATATTTGGCGGGTACTATTTAGTTTTTGTCATACCTTAAAATAATCACCTATAAAAAATCAAAGACTGTAATAGCCCGTATCCGGAAATTTGATCGAAAGAAATTTCGTCGACGGTAAATTGGTCGACGGTAATTTGATCCAACAGAAATTTGGTCGAATCTTCTTTTCAATTTTTACGTTACAATTTTGCATCAAATTTCTTTTTGAACGAATTATTTTGTTTTACTAAATAGTATAGTGCGTTCAAAAAGAAATTTGACGAAAATTTTAACGCACGAACGGAAAAAATGATTCGACTAAATTTTCGTTCGATCAAATTACCGTCGATCAAATTTCCGTCGATCAATTTACCGTCAACGAAATTTCTTTCTATCAAATTTCCGGTAACCGTAATAGCCAAGTTATCCCATTGCTTTTGATTGGTAATTGCTGCTGATAGCTTATTTGCAAAATAAAAAATAGAGAAAGTCATCTTTTGCTGTAATCATGTGTGTGTGTGTTGAGTTAAGGAATTTAGAACTATCAACACAATTAAAAGGGCTAAATAGGATTCTATTTTCAGTTTATTTATCAAACTATCTATTTAAGTATTTAAAAAAATAGTTTAAGTATTATTTTTAAATAGGCCGCACTATTTAAAAAAAACGTCATTGAAAATGTTTATTGTGTTTTTAATATATCGGACCAGAGTGATGAGAGGGGGGGGGAGGTGGGAGCACCATCCTTGGGGGCTAAAATCTTGGGATTGGGTGGAAAAGCAAAATCGTCACTCGAGGTAACATTTAAGACCTATAAGATTGTAATGCCTCTGTTGGGACTACTGTCTATAACAGTTCTCTTTTTACACACACACGAAAGTCTGATACTACTTGATGAATTAAGTTTATGTTATTTTTCTGCATTATTATTTTATTTTGTTCTTTAAATTTGTTCAATTTCCATTTGTTCATTGTTTCATTAATTTACTTCTTGATGCCGTAACGCATATATTTTTAAGGAAGTTTATTGCTAAGTAGGAGATTATAAAATAGCATGGGAATCCTTATAATGTAAATTTTGTTTAACTGTGTAACACAAAGTTTATTTTAATACATTCTTTAGCTGCAATTAATGCTTACCAACATTTAAATATTTTATTTTACTCGCTTGTGTTGTGGCTTTCTTTGTTATAAAAAAGAAACTTATTTGAAACTTATTTAAAATTGCGATGTAAGCCTATATTTCAGAAATATAAATATTTTCTAAAGCAGAACTACAATTTGGAATTGCATGATGGTGGTGGTTTTCAACTTTTCATACTTTACTGCAGAACCAATACCTAATTTTTTAATTACTTCTGTGAACCGCTTGATCAAATAGCTTTTTTAATCAGGATTCTCTATAATGTGGGTGCCCAGGCAGACACCCAAAGTGAAAATCACAAATTAGATTCATTAGCCGTTTTTAACGTTATAATACACAAAAGCGCGTTCTAAGCATTCTTAGTAGTGTTCATTACGTCCATTTATTTCTTTATGAGTGCATCTTTTATTGTTCATGTTTAAGTATTAACTGTATGAAATAACTTTTAAAAACTACTTTTCTGTATATCGTTTTAGTACTTAAAAAACAATCCTTAAGGCAGAGAACCGGTTGTTAAATTATTTTAAATCAAATAACTGAGAAAGTCTCAGATTTTTCATATCAAAGTAACTGTTAATTGATTATAAAATATTAAATTGCAAAATATCTGTACACTTTATTTTTGTATTTAATTAAAATAAAAATGGTTTTATTGCTTTCAAAAGGTAGTTTTAAGGACGCTTATTTTGGTTGATTTTTGTATATGCCATGTGACATTTTTTAAAGTTTGACAGAAATATACTGTATATTTTCATTAATCAAATAATCATGTAATTTAAAGTTATTATTAAACATTAAACCAGTTTTATTATTCATACTATTATTAATATCCAATAGTGGTTACACTAACAGTTAAAGATTGTGTATTCAATAATATTCTTGGATAGCATTTCTTTCCCCAACACCGGCAGCAACAAACTCATAGGTGGCGCGTAGAGCTTTTCCGGAATGAACAACTTCCTTTCTTATTTCTTCGCAACATGGGTCGCATGCACAATCCTGGGTGAGGATATCCAAAGTTTTATTTAGTTTATGTTATATACGAAATTTTGTTAGCAAATTGAAAAATGCTATGTTCAATTAATTTAAAACATATTCGCACACCTTCGGCATTTGAATGTGTCATTACTAATGGTAAGCACTTAGTACAACTTACGACCCAGTTGTGTGGCTCATCAAATGCAAAAGGCGACCATGCTCGATTTTTTTTGGCTTTGGCTTGTTCCTGATTAGTCTTATTTTGAGTAAGCTGCTAGAACATAAAGTTATAAGATGTTTCTGTGATAATTTATCTTTTTTATAACTTCTTATCTCATTAAAACGATTTAGACCTGAAATAATTTGTAGCCTAAACTAAACTGCTTCAAATTGAGAAAGTTAGGGCCACTTAACATTTTCTTGTTTTATTGACCATATTTTATACTTTTCCAAACTTTTATGGATTCCAGTTAAATGCATTTTTACAAGCACATTTGACCTTAAACTTAAATAAGATATTTTACATTTCAGAAAGGGTATATCCCAGAGTGCTCTACCATACAGACGAACTGTACCAGTCGTAAGTATTTGCTTTAAATGTAACATTATCATTGTTATACTAAAATAGTATACATGTACTTTCAATTCGAGGATTGTTTTAGTTTTAAAATGTTTTGCTTATTGATGTGCATTTCACAAAAAATTGTAATGTATTCTATTTTTTCTTTGTTGGCAGTGGCTTAAACTACCAGCTGAAGATGTAGAAGAACAGATATACAAATTGGCCAAAAAAGGATTGACCCCCTCTCAAATTGGTAAAAAAAAAATTATATTTTTATGCCTTTTTTTTAAGGTCCATTTTAATTTTAGCCCTCATTTTTATTTTTCGCGGTGCGGGAGATACACGTCATTATTATTCCGAACGAAGTGGCTATTCGGAAGATCGTCTGTTTCAGATTTAGCTGCCCACATTGACTTTAAGGTTAGGCATAGGGATCGATTTCGGGTTAGGCTTTGGGATAGATTAACAGTTCGGGTTAGGCTTAGGGATAGATTTAGGGTTCGGGTTAGGCATAGGGATCGATTTAAGACGTAAAAGTGCGCGCATGGAAATAAACGCGGGCCGCTTTCTCTGAATTTACCGGAAGATCTTGTGTGGTAGAGTGGTCGCTTGTCGATATATTTGTGGATCAATGCCCAGTTTTTTTTCTCCCATTTTAATTAAAAGTATTTTATATTATATTTATATGTTCAGTAGTTTCATGAGACGTTTTTAAATATATTGTATCAATTTAAACAATTAAAATGAAATCTTTTATTGGTTGCCTACTCCATACTGGCCCCTAATTTATATTATGGATTACTGGTACACAAACTCAAATAACAAACTAAACAATGATGTTTACAAGTCACTTTCACTTAAGTATTTTTCTATTATTTGCATTCAAACAATTGTTTTGAATCATTTTCAGTCACATGACTAGGCTGACGGACAAGATCTGCCTTTATTTTTAGTCTGTCTTTCATCATTTTGGGGCAAACCAGTTCCCTAATTTTGGTATCACCTTTTTAGTACCAGTTTTTACAATTAAAATGTATTCCAGCTGTTAAAAATTTGACAATTGATTTGAAATTTAAGGTGTCATCCTGAGGGACTCACATGGTGTTGCACAAGTCAGATTTGTCACAGGAAACAAAATTCTTCGTATTTTGAAAAAAAAGGGCCTTGCTGCCAGTTTACCAGAGGACCTCTACAGTTTGATCAAGAAGGCTGTCAACATCCGTAAACATTTAGAAAGAAGCAGGAAGGTGTGTGATTCAGTCTTTTTTCAAATTAAAAATTTTTAAAATTTCTTACAACTTCCTTTACTAAGACTTATCAATGTAATACACTTATACACCAAATTTTTTCATTATAGAACATGATCACCTTTAAGTTTTGTGACTTTCCTAGCTTGTAAATTTTCACTTGTATTTTCATTTGTCAATGATGACTAATATTTGCTACTCTTGAGAGTCCTGTGCTGAAAAAATGCCACCAAGTATTTGGGCTGAGACAAATGAGCAACACTCTAAATGAGTTTTATTTTAAAATGCGGGTATATTAGTGACGTAATACATTCTAGCTTACAAATTGCTGTCTGATTGATTTGATACATTGTTTTAAACAGTCATATGGGACTAAGATTAACCCACAAACTGTGGCATTGATTATTCTGTAATTTGGGAGCTTTTCAGGGCTTTTCGGGTGCCTTTAGAAATAGCTTTAAATGACATAGAAATATTTATACAAGATGAGTATATATTTTTAGAAAGGTAAATGGATGGAGATAAAGTTGGCCATACTGAATATTGCCAAGAAGCAAATAAAAATATTTTTGTTCAGTGTCTTTGACCTGTGCGAAAGGGGAAAAAATCAACAAATTGTCTTGCTTTCAAGTGTTCGTAACATCATTAATTTTTATAAATTCCTTCAAATGTAGTAGCTAATTCATTTATTTTTCCGAAAATGTATAGTTTTCGAATGTTTTGATTAAAATTAAACCCCTGAAAGAAATTTTAGTAATTTTTGTAAGAAACTGGGACCATAGCTAAAACCAAGTACAACATACAAAATCTCAGGCAAGATAGTTATTATGGACTAGTAAAGTTAGTCAAGATTTATATTAGTTCCAGCCATTTAAGCTTTAAAAAAGCAGCGATATAAACTTCCGATTAAAAAATACTCTGGGAACAACTTGACCCGGAGGTCGATTTAATTGTTAATAAAAGGAAGTGCCTCTAATTCTGGTTAAATATTGGATTGGAAGTTGCTATTGGACCACATTTTTTATCTGCCGATTTTTTTTTGCTGCTTCAGTACAGAACGAGAATATTGGCCGACCAGTTAGTGGGTTAATTATGGTATGCTTTTGAATAAAAGTTGTCAGGTAGTGGAAGACATCTTAATTGTAATAACCCCTCTAAATTAGTGTCGCATCTAAATTCAAAATTGAGTTGTTCTGTTGGGTTTTTCCATATATATACATACACACAGAATGTTAAGTGGGCAGATTTGGCAGTTGCAGGGTTGAATCAGTCCAGGCTGTATTTGGCTGTCGATTATATTTAGTGTTGTATCCCTTTGTCAATGATGTTTTATATTTGCTACTCTTGAAGTATATGATGAATAACTTACCACCATTTTTATGGTCTGAGGCAAGGGATTTATAATGCAATATCTCCACATTTTCATTTACTGTTCCTTAGGACTACATGTATATATCATTTTTTACCTTGGCCATTTATTTATATAAATTTTGTACTCTACAGGACAAAGATGCTAAGTACAGACTTATTTTGGTGGAATCTAGGATTCACAGATTGGCTCGTTATTACAAGACAAAGAAAGTCCTCCCCCCGACTTGGAAGTAGTAAGTTATTTTCTTTGTACCATTTGTTAATTTGTTGGATTGGTTCATGGCTGGGGAGGGGTTTCCTTAGAATTTTAGAATGTTAATATGAACTTTTCTTTCCTTTATTTCAGTGAATCTTCTACTGCCTCAGCTTTGGTTGCATAGTGGCCAAGTCTCATTTGCATTTTATTTGCAGTTGACTTAATAAATATGAAATCATAGATTTCTTGTTTGTTTTCTTTGAGTTAGTATTCATTGCAATTTTGGATTATTTACAACTTGACGACCATTGTGCCAAGGACTGGAATTATGATCAATGTTTACAAGCATTATCAATACCTCTATTAATTCAAAATTTTAATCTGCATAAACTAGGATATTTCGATGTAAACATCAAAGAGGGATACAACTCCTTTGATTAATAAAAACAATAAGAAATAGTTCATAGTAATCATCAAATGTTTCTTTCAGTTACTTATCCCTTTGAAAAAGAGTATCGGAAACTCAACACACAAAGGATTGTTGCCCCACTTTTCTATAAACTAATTAATTTTAATCATTGGTTTTGATTCAAAATTCTAAGCATGATAGTGATAATTACATTTTTAATTTAGTCATTGTTTTTAATTCAAAACTGTTTGCACCAATGATAGTTTTTAAATATACCTTTCAGTAATGTAAACAAATGTAAATTGCAAATTAGTACAGATAATTTATCTCTGTTTATATTCTTCTAATGACCAGACTTTTGTTAGATTTAGTGTGAGCAGTAACAGCAGTTTTGTGTGAGCTACACCTCACCATCTATGCCCTGCTTAGATTCTCTAGTTTTTTTAACTCCTGCCAGGATACGGCTGTGTTCCTCTGTAGGGTCTGGTACATAGGAACTTCTTCTCCTTTCAGGGGCCACATTCGATGGCTGTAATGTAAAGAGTAAATAGATACAATTTAAATTAACAGCGACCAATCATCTTGTACGGTACTGTTATCACATTTATCTTTTTAAAAATGTTAACAGTACAGTCTGTGAATTGGGGTGACTGCCTGTAAAGGTTAAGAATAATTTTGGACATATTCCATGATGCAAAAACAAACTCGCCAAGGTGTACAGCAGGGGTCTCAATACTCAAATTATCCGTGGGCAGCATATTCTGAGTGAGACTGGTCCCCATCAAGTATTTCACACAAAAACCGATTACAAATTCATAACGTTCAACTGTTACAATCTGCTCATGCTTTATCATTATTAATAACAAATAAAAACATTCAAATGTAAGTAAGGTTCTCAAAAACTAGGCTTCAGTGTACTAAACTTACCGTACTCGGTATTTATTGGCGTATAACACGCCCTTTTTGTCCCCGAAAATAGGGGGCAAATGATGTGTGCGTGTTATACGCCGATATGTTAAATTCGTTTTCCCTGAAGTTTCCTTCTTAAATTGAGGTGCGTGTTATACGCCAATAAATACGGTACTTACTCATACTGGCAACGTTTCTTCTTTGCTCTTATTCTTATTTTCATAGAGAAAAAAATTATTGTTCACTTCAGCTAATCTAAACCCCCACTCCCCCTTATCAATAATTAAATTTTGGTCGACCCCTGAATAAATATAGTATGTGCAGTGATTTGTTGTTTTAGATTAGCCAACATTAATTAATGTAGATATAACTATACCATACTAAAACTGATTTAATATCACTTAACTAATAATTCCGGTACTAATATTAGACAAAAGGTCATCGTTACCAACCTCTTTTTTTCACAACTTGCTTTGATGAAACCATCGTGGAGGGTTACATTAAACGATGTCATTTGAAATTATCGAGCAATACCGGTATAATATGAAGTATAATGTCATACTACATAAAAATACGTCATAATTTGGGACTACTGCAGCATCATTTATTATGTTGGTTTCTAAATCTCTTTAAGTTAAAGTAAAATATTAATCTTAATTAAAATTCTAACTTGACTGGTTATTACATTATTTTAACAAATGTAATGAGTGTAAATTAAAATAGTTATATAATTTTTAGGCTTTTAGTTTTAATAACAATATAGGATTTATTGCTGATTGCTGGTCAGAATGTTAGCACATTAAGTTAATGCAACTACAAGAGAAGTCAAAAGTTGGCTTCTTCGATTGTAGTATTTGTAGAATCTATTTACCGGGGTATGGCAAATGATTAGGGCTGTATGTCTGCGGTCATGTTGCAGGTATGGAACAAGGACAAGTTCAAGAGTCATGTGCGGTCAAGATAAATGGAATCGATAGAGTAGGAATACGATACTTTGAAAATGAGGAGAAAGTAAAGTGAGTAACAATAATTATAATAGCATCGCTACTTGAACGGATCTGCACAATCTGTAACAGTAACATCTATTTTGCATCACAAGTCATGTTGAAATAGCAAGTTCAACAGTACCAAAAATGCATAAGAAATCACTATTACTTTACTAGTATTTTACCAGTACCACCTGCGCCTCAAAAAAAAAGGATTCGATTTCGACTAATGCAAGTAGCTGCTGCCCAGGAGACAGAGAGCTCACGACAATTATTGCTCACACTGACTGAAGGGTTAGATGAGGAAGACGTTGACTTGTCTGGTATTGGTACCGGTTTATCAGTTCAGCAAGATGAAAATGATAAATCAGCTACTATGCCCCTTGTTACCGGGTACGATAGAGATAGAGCAACACCTTGCTACTCCATGGGAAGATAACAAGTAACAGCTAGACATTATGCTACAACAATTGTCAGATATACTGATTATACTGACACCAATCCTATTTCTACTTCCACAAACAATGTTATTTAGTCTTAATAAACTATAAAATCTAAGTGTAAAAACTTTTTTTAACTTGTTGATTAACAAGCTAAAGATGCAATAAAATGTTTTTCCTAAAATTTTGTTTTACCGTATTAAAATAGATCATTACAAAGTATAATGTACCGGTATTATTATTCATTGGGGGGGGGGGGTTGTTTTACAAATGTTGCGCTTCCAGATATTTCGTCGCCGCAACATTGTTTGCCCGGCCATTTGTTCGATTCATTTTTT